GATGGAACTACTTTAGCATCTGGTAGTTATGATAAGTCAATCAGATTATGGGATGTTAAAACAGGATAATAAAAAGCCAAATTAGATGGTCATAGTAGTTATGTCTATTCAGTATGCTTCTCACAAGATGGAACTACTTTAGCATCTGGTAGTTAAGATAATTCAATCAGATTATGGGATGTTAAAACTGGATAATAAATTTACGATTCGAAATATAAAGATCTATTAGCATAATTCTAATTACTTATAAATTAGCATAATCTACTAGAAGAAAGTATATATTTTATTTTATATTAGCTACTTCTTTTATAAACATCCTCCTTATTTCCCAATCTGCCATATTTTAAGCATAAGGAGCTTTGATTTTAAAAGGATAATTTTTCAACCAATCTGGTTTAGATTTAAAAACATTATTAAAGCAAAAAGGAAGTTGCTTTTTGGAGAATTATTAACAGAAGTGATTATTTATCAATTTTTTAATTTTAACTTTTTTTCTCTACAATTTGTTAATCCTCTATTTGATAATTGTAATTACTTATTAAATTTATTTATAGTGAAAATATAAAAATGAAACTTTATTTATAAATAGATTAATAAGTGGGTTGGCTTCGTACCTACCTCCACTGGATAGTAGTTACTAGGGTTGAGTTATTCAATATCAAGGATCATGCTTCAGTGTCCAGAATTCATTTAAAAGCTTTCTGTCAACATCTCTCAGATTCTAATTATATTTTTAATTATTAATTATTAAACACATTGAATTTATTTATATGTACTACTCTATATATGTCCTTTAACTCTATTATTTTGATGTTAAAATTAAACATTTTACTAAGAAATAATGATACATAATATTTCTTATATTAAATCAATTTAGATGATATAATCTAGATAAATTATTACTTAAAATAAGGTTCATAATTATTAAACAATAATAATAATTGTACCTAATAATAATATGCCTAGCTATAAATTAAATATCAAATATAAGCATAATCACATTTCTTTCGAAAATTCTTCACTTCAGTAGGATTAAAACAACATAAGATTTTAGTTTATTTTGATACTATAGATTTGACTTCTATTAAAATTTGATTTTATAATCATCCGATGAAATGTTTGGCAAATCAAGTCTTCTTTATTCCCATCGATATTTGATACCATAATCTCAATTAAATGAAAATATTACTATAAAAATAATATCTATAGCGATTCAAAACTTCATTACAAGCATCAAAAATGGCTTTATTATGAATATGTAAAATTCTAAGATGGCAAAACCAATTTCATCATCATTTCAGTTACTTGGTATTCTTTAGTTTTCGTATCCAACAAAATTATTTTCATCTATTGGGAATGTAATTTAATCATAAAATTCTATATTGTTATCAATATCATCATCTTCATTTTGATGAATTAATCTTAATCTTTATTTAGTTGTAAATTCAAATTGAGCATTTAAATTTGAAATCAATATTTATTTATGATTCTCTATTAAATATTAATTTTATATTGTCTCTAAGTAATTTAAATAATTGAATGACTCTAAATCTTCTTAATTGTTATTAATTTATGATTCATTTCCTGTTCAATATTTGTAAAATTTTAATTTTTAGCTACTTCTTTTTAAAATTTAGCAATTTCATAGTTAGACATTCTTGTAAGTTTCCGATATTTCTTCAAAACATTTGATAATTTGGTAATTTTTTAATTGTTAAACTTTTACTTTTAATTTTTAGCATTCATAAATTTTTTTTTAGTTTCTATTTGTAGTTTTTATAGATTGATTAATCTATAAAAACATAAATTTCTTAATATTACTTTTATTATTTCTCATTAAAAACTTTCTATTATAAAAGTCTTTCTTTCAACTGATTTGATTTCTTTTTTTCCTTCATATATTATTGTATAAAAAAATTATTGATTGGTTGTTATTTTTCAATACATAAAGGAGATCTTTGATATGTACCTTTCTAATTTTTTTATATCTTAATACTTTTTTGAAAGATTTTAATTCTATTGGAAACATACTTCTTTTGTTTCATTAGTATGCTTTGTAGTTTTTTTGTAGTTTTTGGGCTTAATTATGATAAAATTTATTCTGTTTTTTTTGTTTTAAAGTTGGTTATGTAGAGTGAATGGAATTTCTAATAATTTAGAAGCTGATTTTCTGAATTGTTAATTTGACTGGTTTTAGATGCTTACTCTATTTATTACATTTATATAATTATTATAATTAATTAATGAAATAAATTAAATTAATCACCCTATATAAGATTCATCTAATAATAGTTCATCATAAGTTTTCAAAATTAAGCTAGTTCAATAAAGTCTAAAAAGTTACAATTTAAATATTAAAGAAATTTAATATTTTTATTGATAGTTTAAAATGTATTTCTAAATTACTAAATTACATTAGTTTCATCCTTTTATGACTTTAGTTCTCAATCTCTATGTTGCTAGAAGATGATATTGCAGAGCTGACTAGATGTTCTCGGAGAATAAATCTTTAAACTCAAAAAGCTGGCATCAATAAAATTGATAATATTATTAGCAAAACTAATTTAAATAAAAATATCTTCTCCATTTTTTAGATTCATTCATATGAATTTTATTTTTTAATTAAAATATTCTCTTTTTTCTGTTAAAAATTTTACTCATTATTTATGCAATTTTTAATAAATTTGAGTTATTAAATGCAAGGCACTTAGATTTAGTATTGGAGGAGATATATCAGAAAAGGGATTTAGAAAATTGATTTTTTCAGAAATGGTTGAGGAATAAGTTAAAAATATATATTAATTCTAAAGTAACATATCTAAATTGGAAACTTGTATTTAGAAATTTGATTCTATTTTAAATTTCAGTGAAGAGTAGATTAAATAGATGATAATTTAAAAAATTTAAAAAATTTTTTAAATTCTTAGAAAGATATGATGAGTATTATATAAATAGAAGAGAGAGGGATAGAAGACAGTAATTTACAAATTCGAAGTGATTTTAACCTTTTATCTAAGAATATTAAAATAAGATTGCTTAATGCATATTGAACACAAAGGTCCAATATTTATCTCTATTAAAATAAAAAAAAAATCTCAGAAAATACAATAATAGCTGCTGGATTTTCTAATTAAATTATGGAAATTAAATAAGGAATAATTATTTGACAATGAGAATGAAAGGAGAATCTGCTTCAGATATTGCAACTTGCTTTTATTTTCAGTAAAAAGAGTAATATTTTATATTGTGGAAGTAATAAAAGATCCATTTTTTGTTGGAAAGAGATTAATTAAAATAATTTGGAAAAGATATTTACTTCTAGTATTCATCAAAATTTTTGAATAAGCATTAGAAAATTGTCTTCAGCATTAGATAAGTTAGTCAGAACCATAATTAGTTTCTTCAAGTTAAGATTAACAGTTAATCTTTTGGGAAAAGAACTGCTTATAGATTTTTGAATTTCAATACGCAATAGAAAATTCGATAATTGACTTTGGTCGTAGAGTTATTTTTAAATGATAATAATTTGGTAATAAAACTAAGGTGGTTCAACACATGTATTTAACAAGGTAATGGAAGTTTTAAAAAAAAACTCTTTTGCTTACAAACCAAGCGAGATTGTTGGCTAAATCTTAAGGTAATTAATTTTAGTATTTTTACACTGCAATTCACTGAAAAAATTATAAGAAATTTAAGACATCAAGGTTTTAAATTAACTTAATTAAATTTAAATTTAACAATTTTATCAAATAATGTAGAATTAAATTTTGTTAACCTTTTTCAATAATTTTAATAATTGTCGAATTACATTTTATAATTATAAAAATTTAAGAAAAAAAGTTGCCATGGTTGAGTATCATATTGGATTAAAAAATGCCCAAAATAAATTAATCGATTTTAATTTCATATAATAAATGTTGTTTGTACTTCTAATATAGAATATTAGAGTATTAAAGATTTTAATATATTCATAATTTTTACTTTATAAGATTTAAAAATTGAAATCTTTAACGTGAAATTACTTATACATCAGCTTAATAATTAAGGTTAAGCATTATCCAATAATTTAATTTGCTTAAGGGTTCTAAGAAAACTATAGAAAATCTAAGAAGTAATCAAGTGTTTTGATAAAGCAATTTCAATTAATCCTCAATAAGAAAATGCTTGGTATAGCACGGGTAATAAATTTAGAAGCATAATGATTAAGGTTTCACATTAACCCAATTATATCTTGTTAATGGTTATAAGATTATGGAAATGCCTAGAAGCAAATTGAGTGTATATAAAATTATTTCAATTAATCTTAAATTTAAAAGCGCCTTGGTATATATAACAAAGGTATTTAATCAATTATTATTTTTGAGGTTGCGCACTAAATTAATTGTATAAATAATAAGTAGCAATAGAGTGTTGTGATAAAGTTATTTGAATTAACCCAAAAAAAATTAATTTCTGGTTAAATAAAGGTAAATTATATTAAAATTAAGGTTAAGCTCTATTTTTATAAAGTAATATACTAATACATACATTATAGTAATTTAAAGATGCTAATTTATGTTTTGATTTTACTCTTTCAATTTGAATTGATACTATAACATTAGAGCTAAATGGTATATAAATCTTTATTTAAATTTAGCTGACTTACTTATGCTGCTAAAGCATGATCTTTAAAATACTTGAATAGAGGTAAGAGAAGTTAAACATTGATATTTTGTTGCATTGGAAATGGGATCAAATGAGAAAGATTATATACAGCAATAGCTATCAAAATTAAGAATCATCATCATGTGAAATAATCAAATTAAATAATTTATTTTACTAAAATTTTCTTTTTTTAGTTTCCTTTTTATGGCAATTTACTATTAATTCATTTTTATATTAAGTATTTAGAGATTTTGAAGTTTTAATTGTAAAGTAACTTAGGCAAATTTAAAAGGAATATTGATAGAAGATTATGATAATATGGAAGTACTTACTTCTCCTTAGTTTATTTATCATCCAAAATAGAATGAAGTAAGATATGAGTATTGGTAATTTCAATTATTGGATTATTATTAAAAAAGATTGGAACTACTTATGTGTTGCCTAAATACTTAACTCTCTAATAATAAAGATCTGAACACTTATATCGTTATACCAATCTTGTTGAAATAATATTCCTAAATCTTAAAAACAAACCTAGAATTAGTTTATTCTATTAAAAGAAATAAATGATGATTTGATTCATGATCTATGATTAAAGCTTAAGTTGAAGGAGTAAGTCCACAATGATTAATTAGTTCCTAACGATACTTTGTCACAGAAATTTTAAAGATGCTTGAAGTATTTATACAATTTCAAATTATTTAAAATTCATCACATTAAACTCTCCCATTTGATCATCGAATTGTGAAAAAGGGCAATTGAAGATACTAAACATTAAGATGCATATTTTAAATTATACTCGATTGTAAAATAAATTTTGTTTTCCGTATAGTAGTGCTAAGTTTAGTTAGAAATATAAAATTTATTGAAAGAAAGGTTTTGATAATCCAAATAATTGTAATAGAATAAAATGAGCTTTATGGCTATCAAAAAACTTTAAGTGATTTAATTAAATTTAAGTTGAATAATTTTACAAGTATTTTACACTTGATCAAGTGAAATAAAAAAAAATTATCATCTATTCATAGAAATCCTAACAGATTTATTTTTTTTATATGAACTTTCACTACAGTCGTGATTTATTGATTGGGGTGAATAAGATAATACAAAATGAATTTTCTATATATTATATTTCCTTGGCTGCTTATGAAAAATTAATTTAATCTATATCTTAAATAAGTATTTGATGTTATATTGGTCATAAATTCATAAATTAAGACAATTATTAAACTTATTTTTAGTAGGGAGTGGAATAGAATATTTCAGTTTTGGTTTGATGTACATATAAATAAATTTAAATTGAAGTTATTCTCTTTTATTTTCATTATAATGATGGCATACTTCATCATATGATGGAGAGATATCAATTTATAAGTAATAAGGAATAAAAAAATGCAGCTAGTTGAAAATTATGTTTAGTATGCTATATATCAGATGGATTTGTAGTTCTACTTGATAATATAAATTGGGATGTAGATTAAAAATAACAAGCTCATGAATCAACTATATATTTATTATGTTGGAATTAAGATTGCTCATTATTAGCAACATGCAGTGCTGATAAATTGATTAAAATTTGGGATTTATAAATAATAATAAACCATAATTGAAATATACAATTTAATCTCATTTAGATGTAGTAAAAGATGTATAATTACATCCATTAGAAAAAAATATTTCTTGTACAAGGAGGAGATGTAAAGATTATATTAAACTTTTAGGATGGAAAACTTAGAATATAGATTAGAAGAAGATGTGGTGGAAATTTAGGATATTAATTTTCATATGACAATTTGAAGAATATCGTTTAATATGTTGGGTAATTTAATAACAGTAAGCGGAGAGAGTAATGGTTTAAGTAAAATTTAAACACTAAAACAAGAAAATAATTATTAATATGGTAAGATTGAATAAAGGTAATTTGCTATTAAATCCATTTTATTGAAAATATCCTTAACTTCTTCCATATTTATGACATTAGGCCATTAATATTACATAAGTGAAAGAGTTTCTATTTGATCCTTCTTAAATAATTTCAAAGCAGCCTTGCATGCTTTTTCGAAGTCTTACTAATACTTTCAGGTAGTATAGGTAATTAAAATGATTTGAAAAATTCTACTGTATGATGTTAATGAAGGGATAAAAAATTTTTAGGTATAAGATGGAATCTAAGTATTGATTAATATTATATAATTTTATTACCATAATCTGTTATGCATATTTTATAATTATACTATATCTTTATTATCAATATTTTATGTTAAAAAATGTTATCCAATTTAGAATGAGATTCTTCTACTAATTACATTTTCAGAAATGAAATAAGATTTTTTTGAAAAAAATATGGTAGATTCTATTTCAAGTTCCTAGAATAAGGTGGCTGTTGTTCTGTTTTGGCCCTCAACTGGAAGACCTTGTGATAGCAACTTATACTAGAGGATAAAGCAATTTTGAATTATTTCTTGCAATTTATTTTGAAAATATTAATGTTTTAGTTTAAATAATTATCATATTTACTTGCTTTGATGATAATTTATTATATGATATTATTTTTTTGTGGTGCCATTTTTAATAATTGAATTGATTTAAGCTATCATACCTTTAATATAAAACTGAGTTAATTTCTTGACAATTATTTATAGCTTATTATATTAAAAAAAATTATAATTTGCTTTCTTAAATGGATTCAGAAAAATAAGAGTTTATAAGGTCAGAGAGTTTGAAGTGCTAAATATTAAAAATTTTGACATTTCCCTTATTAGTGAAGAAGGAAAAAATGATCTAGATAATTTTGGAACTTTAAATCATTATTAAACAAACATTGATAAGAAAATATTAATCTTATATTCATAAATTGATTTTAGTAAATGTGGAAATTATTTATAAAATATTATAGAAGATTAAAAGTATTTAATAATTTGTGAGTAGAGAATAACTAATAAAAATCAAAATTGCAATATGGGAACATCCTTTACAATTCATATGTTTAATTTAATTTAAAACTAGTCTTAGAAAGTTTAAATAATATAAAAATTAATTATGTTTAAAATATGCAAGATTTGGTAAGGATGAAATAAATTGATATAATTGAAAAATATACAAAATATTTTTGTAAGAGTGAAAGGCATCAATTAGGCTGCAAAAAACAGGAATATAATTAAGGATAATATGGAAAAATGTCAAAACAATTGACCATCCTCTCCTCTCCCTCTATGTGACTCAACATTGAGCAAGTCTAAAGGAATAGTGAAATTCCTTGCTGTATTTTGAAGGAGAAGCTGATATATTAAAGGTTTGATTTATTTATTTTATTTCTTAAAAGCCACTTAATTTTATAAGACCTAAGAAAATTTAATCCAGTCTAAAATCTAATAGAATGCTAAAAATATCCCATCTATCTTATTTCTATCCACTTTCACCTATTTTTTGACCCAGTTTCTTATTCTTTTATATAATCCTACCAAAAAATAATTTTAAAATCTAAATTTTTCTTAATTTTTCTCTTGTATATTAATTCTACCTTTCTTTCTAACTTAATTCAAAGACGAAATCAAAAAATAATCAAGCATTTATTCAGGCATGACAATTTATTTTTTTATATTTTTCAAATATATCAAATTTATATATACAACTTAAAGAATATTAAAATTATTTAAATAAAACAAATATATAAAATTACACCTCTCCTATTTCGAAGTATTAAACCGTAAAAAATGAATCGCAAAATCGGTTTTATTTTAGATAAATAAAAAATATAAATTTAAAAATTGAATTGCTGATTTAAACTGGAAATTCAAAGACAGATTGTTGAAATTTTATTCAGCAATTCTTGGTCGGTAGATTTATGTGCCCTGACATTGGCATATCAATAATTAAATAAAAGTAATTTAAATTTAGCCACTAGTGTTCAGTTCAAATTAAAATTTGATAATCAAAGAATTTCACTTAAAATTGGAAATAGAACTAACAATTACAGTTTCCATTATTCTGAGGTGATTGAAGTAATATAACATAAAACATTTATATAATTTCCCTAGATGTAGAGGGACAATATTCTATTCACTCAAAAACTCAATCAATACTTATATATTGCAAAATTTAACATCTATTCTTATTTTACATACCTTTCTGAATCCTGATATTCCAATCATGAAAGATCCAAAAATATTAAACTCTCTTATTATTAAAGAATCTGATTTTTATATATAACCACTCCATTTAAAATGTCTATTTGAAATATAAAATTAGTTTTTTTTTAGAATCTATTCCTTATTAAAAATGCATATCTTAGTGTAATATTAAAACATTTATTTTTAATATCATCTAAAAAATATCCTTTCAAATCAATAATATTAATCATTTTTTTTGGATTCTTAATTTTGATTCTTACTAATTTAGTGTTTTTCTAACAATTTTAATATAAATTGTTTGAATAAAATGAGATTTAGTTCTAGATTGTTTAGCATAAACAAAATCAAATTTATTGCATAATTTCAAATAACCTAATAAATTCCAAAATAATCTCTTCAAGTTATCATTTTTCACTAATTAAGTTAAAAAATATAGAAATCTAATTAAAAATAATTCTTGAAAAATAAATAAATTAACTCCTTCACCCTAAGTTCGCTCAATTAATTACTATTACATTTATCTTTGGAAATTAGCCCTAATAACACTCATCCTATTACTCAAATAGAACCAAATCATTCAATTTTCCTCAAAAATTATTGATATTTAGAGAAAAATGGAAATCTATATTCCCAAATAATTTAATAAGAAATGCATAGTGAATTACATAGAATTCAAGTATGCTCAATTTCAAAGGATGGATATATTTAAAATTAACTTTAATAAATAGCACGATAAGTTAGTTTAGTTTTAGTGTTTATCCAAGCGTTGATTAAATAGAAAAAAATTGATTCAAAAAGATTTATGTATAGTTACAAGGATTGACCTTAGAAATTTCACCAATTCTAAAGGAAACTGAATTATTTAAACTTCAATCATATGGATTTGTTCTAAAGTCAGTTTTAATGCTGTAAATGAGTTAAGTTGTCTAGATTTTCATGCCTTTATATGGATCAACTATAAAGCAAATCAGCATTGAATGATAATCAATTTTAACTGGTCTATTTTAAAGGTTTAGTTATAGAGAACGAGGGAGATTACTTGTTTTATAAACTTATTTTGATCTAAATTGAGATATTTTGATAACCTTCTGTTGTTATTTTTAAAGTACAGTGTTTAATTACGCCATCTTTGTATATTGAATTATTTTTTTTATTATATACCTGTAGAGTATAAGCAAATTGAGAAATGTTCGACTTCCTTAATTTAAAATAATTGAGGCTTCTTAAAAACAATATTGAATCAATAAATGTTATATATATGACTAAAATTTCAATTCACATAACTGTTCTTATTGTCTGGGATATAAATGTGAGCCTGCTCTTTCACATACTAAATGATTTAGTAAATATTATGATTATTATCATGTCTTGCATCTCAATACTTGAAGAGAAGTAAGCTAATTTTTCTTATTTCCAATCATTTATAAAAAAATTATTGACTAGAAGGTAGTTGGAATGAACGTATTTAAAACAGATAAAAAATGGTTTCAAAAAAGTGATTTTCATCTTAAGGAAGAAATAAAATTAAATCTATAAGTTATAATGAATATTTAAATTGTGAACAAATGTTGTTGAGGTATTACGAATGCATAATAAGCGGTAATCTTTAAAGTGTTTTAAATTAACTACCTCGCTGGCATGTGAAGAGATGATTTGAATTTTCTTTGAAAAATCGTCTGCCATCGAGTAAGTAGCAATGATCAAACAACAGCTTGCAATTTTATTAATTTAAAACAAAATTTTTTATCTTCTCTTCCATTTTTAGGTGTTATAAAGTAAATCCTGACAAAAACATTCGAATTAATAACAAATAATTCAATAATATACAAGACAGCAACAAAAACTTTAGGTACATAAGTTTGAAAACAAAAAAGGTATTCCTTTTTTGAAGTATAAAAAATAGATTCATAAAAGGGCTTTTTACAATTGTTAGGCTCGCTAAGCACAAAAAATGCGTGAAGACTAGCATTAAATGAAACCTTTAATGGCATCAAAATAAATAATTTATAATCAATTTGTTAAATAGATATCTTAGCATAAAATAATTCATTAATAAATATATGAAGCAATTATCACATTTAAGAATGAACTTTTTTATAAAATAATTTAACTATATAATCAATTAATTTTGTAAGGAAATTCTAATTTTATTAAAATCTTATGATTCTTCTTCTTTAATATTTATAACTCATTCTAGTATAACTTTAAATTATAGGTTCATATTATAAAATAATATAATAAACTGCACAAGTAGAAAAAATTCTTCATTTATCTCCATAGAAATGCTTTGCGATTGATAAATTCTTGAGATTTGTTCTAAAAATAATCTTCCTTAATTTATTTTACTTTAAATTCGATCATTAATTTTTTCGCTATATACTTGAAAATACACTTCAAAGGTTTTATTTACCTTATGATAAGATTCTAAATGGATGTTTAAATAATTTAAGTAGCAGTTTCTTTAGTATAAATAAAAACCAGCTCAATTTATTATTATTCACATAAAGCTCTGTAATCAATTACTATCATCTATTTAATTAAAATTTTAATATTATTTAAAAGTTGAATTCTACTCAATTTTATTAAAAAAACTCAATTGCAGCCTTCTGAATTTTCATGAAGTCATAGAGCTCCTTATATTATTCTTCAGACTAAATGGATTACTGTTATTGAAATTACTTGGGCTTCTTGCATTTTCATATATCCAGAAGCTTGTTGGAAAGACTTAATATAATTATTTCAGATTTAAGATTTTAAATATAATTCAAATAAATAATAGAAAATATATCATCGCAAACAAGCTTTATTAATAATTATAAATATTACATAGATAATATAGAAAAGGGTAGTTATGGAAAATAAGGTCTATTTCAAAAGCCCACCGCAAAACTCTTGGAAGAACATAAGTTGATACAGATTCACGAAATCATAGAAATTCAAGAAGCTTTAATTATAAATTTGAGAGGTAAAATCAAATCAAAAGAAAGAGGTATCTAAATAACTAATTAGGATTTATAAGACATGGGTTGATATTGAATAGAATGCAATTTAGATAAAGAAAATTACTATTAGGATCTGAATGTAGAATTCACTATTGTTTTTCTTAAATTCTATCAAATAACAGTTATATGTAAAGATATTTTTTTTATCCAAATGTCTTCTTCAGCAATTCAAACCTCTCATTGTTATACTCTATGGTAAGGTTAAATAAAACCCATAGACATATATTTGATAACAAGAAATTACAGCTATAAAGCATAAATCCTTTAAATAGATAGACAAGATCAGAAAGATAAATAATCTTAGGATGCTAAAACAAGAGAAAGAATACATATACATAGATAGCTTAGTAATATAAATTGTTACAAAAAGAAAATCTAGTAAGATATTCTTTACTTAACCTTCATCAATTACTCTTAATAATAGAGCACCTTTTATTAGCTTTGTTGATCTTTTCTTAACCTCCAACATAAGAGTTTTCGAATATAATCATATCGGAATATTCAAAAAAAATTTTAAATAAACTATTCAGACAATAAAAGAATTTAAAACCTTCTTGTAGAATTTAAGGAGATAAATTAAACATTTCACTTATACATAATTCTCTCATTTCTTTTTAATAAGTTTTATTGAAGTTTTAATCAATTATCAGCAGTTCTGTTTAATCTAGATATAAAGACAATTTCTTTGTTTATTCCTTTTATTAATTAATTCCTACAAAAAGGATTTTGTATCTTTTGTGAGTTTTAACTCTCAGCAATATTTAGTTCCTTATCTTATCAACTACTGTTCTTTAAGGATTAATTGTATTTGGATCTATTATTGGAAGTATTTTTTTCCTCTAAATTTAATATTATCTATTTTGATATATCCTAATCAAGTCATTACAATTAATATATTGACAAAAAGACAATAATATATACATTCATATAGATAGTGATGTAATATTACAACTACTCTATTCTTTTATTGCTAAATATTAATTTAATTAAGAAATTAAGCACAACTAGAGTTGTATGAGATAAAAATTGATAAGGGGAGAATATATGGCGCAGTTTAACTATTATGCAGAATAATTAAAGGATCTTTATTTTAAATAAAGTGATAATAGGCAATTCAACTATTTTAAAAATAGAAATATATGGTTTATGAAAAAACTAAATAAAGCAACCTCAATCCCATAACAAATAAGCTATAAATTTTATCTAATAATATGAACTTATGAGGGCATTTGACACTCTCATGACTTAGTTCAGAATCATTCAACTATAAAAATACTTTGGAATCAATTGAAAATAATTTACCACTAAAAATCTTAAAGGTGCTTATAATAGGAACCAATTTATCTTTAGCTAAAAAATTACACAATAAAATAAAATCCTAACAACATTTAATATTCGGCAACATCAAGAAATAGATGATTTTAAAATTGAAAATTGTTAATAATTTTCAAAAACTAGAACATTCTCCTCTTAAGAGCATTAGCTTAAGCATATTCTATAGGAATTCAATATTACAAAAGTAAGAAAGTGTGATCAGTTATAAAGAAGTAAAATGAACTCATTCAAAATAAGTTCTATGTAAAAGCAATAAAAGTGACTAAATATGAAAGGCAATCATGAAGAAATATGAATTTCGTTATTAATTGTATATATATTTAGGAAAATATAAATTTATTAGCATAGCTTTTAACCATTTACTTTTGTTATGAAAATTGTGTAATGTTTATATTTTCAAGAGGGCCAAGGAGAAGATAGATGAATAAAGAATGGCCATGGATCTATTTTTGAAAAAAAGTAAAGGAGTTTATAAGTATACTAATAAGTAATTTAGTTCAGATTCATCGATGCTAGAAGACCTTGATCTTAATGCAAATACCTGATATCAATTAATATCATGTTGTTCGATTCATTTCTGATTAAAAAGAAATAAAAGTATAAGAATTTCAATGTTTTACAGAAAAAGCCAACATTATCTTATACAGACCAGGATTTTTGAAATTGAAACTTTTCAGATAATTTATAAACTGGTTGACTTGTGAGAAAAATTATTTAGAAAAATTTTTTTTTATTTTAAAACTAAGAAAAGAAAAATAAAACGAAAAATAGAAAAAAAAATTTTTTTTAATAAAACAATTAAAGAAAGGACTTATTTTTATATTAATTACTCAATAAAATAATTACTAATATTTAAAAAAAAAAATCCAAACTAAAAGAAACATTTTCCCTAGATTGCCAAAACAGGACTAATTTTCGAAAGAATTTTTAATACATGTTTTTAAATTTTTTTTTTTTTTAAATTTGAATTAAAAAAAACTTACAGATGTCTTTTAACTGAAATAATATTATTGCTTTCAATACCGCTCATTCAATTCTATTCCTTTTTATTTCTAATAATTTTTTTGTTTAGTTATTCAAAATGCCTAATCTTTACATTCTATTACTAAATAAAATTATTTGAATTTAAAACTTAGACTTCATTAATATTTAAATATCTCAACCTTATTATTAATCAAAAATTAATCTTTTTAATTGTGCTCTATAGCTTTATTTCAACTACCTATCGTTTACTCAAAGCTTTTATATATCATAGTTCATGATAGAGCGCTACAAAAGGAGGAGATGCCTAAGGCTATGAGGAATTCTAACTAAAATTACAGTTTAGATTAGCCTCTCATCCTTACCCTGTTAAGCCAGGACAGAAAAAGAAATGATTGTGATTCTAGGATATTATTATTAAAGCCATTACTAACAATTACTATTCAAAATAAACCTTTTTAGACATAAAAAGCTTCATTAGTTAAATTGAATTAGATTCAAGATTCCAATATTCAATTAATTATTTATTTTATTAAAACCTTTCCTGATCATTTTTGTAATATATGCTCTTTTTAATGTTGTTTATTATAACGTCCTTCTTAATTTCAATTCATTTTTCTTTCTTGATTCCTACTTTAAAATTATCATTATCATCAACTTAATTAAGTAATTTATCATCAGGTAATAATACAAAACTATATCCTAATAGACAAAACCTCTAGAAATTCCTCATTTGAAATTTCTCTTTAATAACTCTTTGTTTAGAAAAATTCAGTTCTTGTCTTATTAATGAACTTGAATTTATTATCTAAGTTGCTTCAACTTTTGCTGAGGACTTTTACTTTAATTTCCATTATTAATTTAATAATTTTACTTTCTCTTGCTCGCTCTGCTAACTCATTTACTGTTCAAAAGGTTCTTAGACTTATACTCCCGTCTTTGGAAACCAAGCAAGACCAAAACACCCTAAGATGATGAAGAAAAATCCTTGTAGTCATTATTTCACTCTTCCCATAATTTAATGGGTAGGACACGAACTGAATCTGTTTTAGATCTTACTCGTTCATTGGAACCAACTTCTTATTTGGTCCCCAATTATTCCGCTCTCTTTTATGGGTAATCTCCCTACTATACTAAGACCAAACTATGAATATGTCTAAAAAGGGAGTCATTAATAAAATTTTATTTTTATTTAGAGAGGTGATGTATATGTGTAAGGAAGATTCGAAAATTATTGAAAAATATAAGTTCAAATCTTTTAATAAACAAATAGCTTTTAATTTAGATCTTAAATTTAAAAAAAAAAGCATCTTGTTATAAAAAATCAATTTTGCAATCTAATTTGACGGTTGCATTTTATAAAAATTAAGTTAAGCCACTTACTTTTAAAAGTTTATTAGAATCTGAATAAGCTAAATGAGGAACAATATCTCTAAGCGCTTTTTTAAAATCCATACTTGTTTCATATATTCTTCTTTTCATATGCCTTTAGCTCGTATGCTAATTTACAATTTATCCATTTCTTTATATTGTAAAATATATAATAAAAATATCAAAAATTATTACCATAAGTACTTTAAATTAATGATTTACTCAAAAAAGATACTAATTTTGATATATCTTCATTTTAGATTATGATTACTTATAATAAAATAATATTTACTCATCCAAAATGATAAATTTTATGTTAAATTTCTTAATACTTTGTATTCAAGTGATACAATTCATGGTTCTAAAAATCATATTTGTGTTAAGGTAACCCAGTAGGTGTGTCGTTTAATTTTTATATTGTATTAATAAATTCTAAAATTTTTAATTAATTTTACAATTTTTAGTAAAGCATTCTTTTAAGTTTTTCAGGTTCCTGTTGACTTTATTATTTACTGATATAATGGATAATACAAATTTATAAATAATAATTCATTAAATCAATATTTCATGTAATTTTTTTATCTTTTTTAGACTTGGAATCTATTTTATAAGATTCTGATTGATTAGACTTATTTCTATCTTAATCTTAGGGTGATTTAAAATCTTGAAATCCAATGTTCTCAATTTAAACTTTGTTTTCATAAATTCATCACAATTATTGAAAAGCTCCTCTTTCTCTTTATTCCAGTTGGATTCGGAATCAGAATGATTAAGAAAATAAGGATTGTAACCGAAAAGTGAAATGGAAATGTTATATTCCAAAAACCTCAAAATTTAAAGGAAAGCCCTTATAGATTCGAAGAAGCTATGGGATTGAAATGAGAAACTTTCTTCAACTATTCTGTAAGTGAAAGGTAATTGTGATTGAGAACTTATAGTTTAATAGTTTGGTACCAATGGATTTGGCTCTAAGCCAATTCTTTTTCCCGAATTATTGTCAGATAATTAAAATCATGAAAATGTTTAAAGATCAACAGGGTTTTGTATTTTGACTTTTTTTTTTTTTTAATACTATCAAGGAAATTCAAGAAGTGAAATATAGAACATAAATCTTTTTAGTAATCATATTATATTTAATGTCCAGGTATGGAATAAAATTACTTTTAGCCTTTATAATTATTCAAATTCAAAAAATGCAAAATAACAAGTTAATTTTGAAAATTAAGAATTTTTTATGAACTAGGAGAAGATTAAAGGGAAGTAATGTGTAATTTAATTGTTTTTAAAAACTGAATTGCAGATATGATTTTGCAAAGATTTTAGTATGATATTAGACTGAGATAATGTTAATGATACGAAAAATTATAGAGATGGAGAATAGAGTTGATATTGTTTAAAAGAGTTTTAAGAAGCTTATAGACACAATGCCGAAACAATCAGTAGAAAGTTATAGAAATGATAAAAATATCTTGTGAATTTTGAGAAGTATATTGTTATTCAAAGTAATTCAAGCTTTATTCAAGGAAATCTGGGGATTATGCACACAAAAAGTTACCATTAAATTTTTCAACTTACAAATAGATAGAATCTATAACGAAAAGATTGACGGATGGATTGCCCCAAATACATTCAAAAATATTATGCATAGAGATTAGAAACTCGCAAGCATGTTATTCAAAAAATAAAAATAATCTCAATTTTAGAAACATAGTGACATAAATTCTTTTTGCGATAGCTGATTTTGTTTTGGCACAATTTGTAAATCTTCCAGTTAATTCTATTGTATATCTGGAACATCTGGTTTCTGGCACCTAAAGTATACACAAGATAGGATTTATAATTCTACTTTTAAATTAAGTATAAATAATAGAGGCATATCAACCACATATGATGCATATGATGGTGTATGCTATGTGTACTTATTAGGATGAGTCTTCCATGTTTTTCTTAGCATACCAGCAGAAAATTTTATAATACAATTGTTCACTAAAATAAGGAGGCTAAAGTTCATTGTTAAAATTCAGTTTTAGAGGTGGTATTATTTAAATGTGTAATAAAGGGATATTTCCATAAGAATTTTACTTTATTATTAAAACAAATGCTTGAATCAAATCCAAAAGAAAAGAATTGCAACTAACGAGACTATGAAATTTGAATACATTTAATTATGTGAAGAAAATTAATAGAACATTTCATCATAAGATGATGGTAGAGAAATTAATGATAAACAGGCTTGAACTTTTGAATATTATAAATCAATGAACTGTAAAACGATAACTTATTTAATTAGAGCCGTCAAATTTGATATGGTTAGAATCAAACACTTTCAAAATCACGAATCATGAAAGATCGACAATCTAAATTATTTAAATAATTATTTGGGTTATATCGTGAGAAAATCAATAAAAGATGGACTGTTATAGTATTTAGAACTGGTTACATTTTAAGTTTGAGAATTAGTATTTTCAGATGAAATAAAGGGTTTCTAAACAAATCAACTTTTACAAAATTAATAACAAAAATAAGAAAAAATTTTATTGAATTAATATAAAATAAAAATAATTAACTTTTATGATCTTGCCAAATATGAGTTAATAATAAATTAAAATGAAGCAAATAGAGAAATTGTAAAAGCAAGGATCAATTATAAAAAAAATAAAATAAATTCTTTTAGCATATAATTTTTAATCAACTCGATTGAATGTTTGCAAGAGTTTATATAATGAATCGTTGGTAAAAAATTAATCAAGTGATAGATATTTATTTAAATGAGAAAAAAATAAAGTGAAAGATAAAGTTGGTTTTAAAAATATTCTGTTTTGAAAAATTAAAGGATTCCATCACAAAAAATAAATTTATCAATCAATAAGAGCAGTAAAATCCAATCATTAATAAAATTTGTACATTTTCTTGTAATTTTAAATAGAAATGTCGTAAGATTATTAATAACAACTTGATGAGGCTGAATATTATTCTGCAAATGGTAATATTTAATAGCAAATTAAAGCTGCTATATTATTTCATTAGAGTCGATTTGAAGAAGCATTAAAACTTTATGATTATGCTATTTATAGAAATCCTTTAAATGCTAAAAATTTTACAGCGAAAGGTAATTTTTTTATTATTATCAAGCTTGTATTCTCTTTCGATTGAATCGAAAGGAAGAAGCATTATAATATTATGACTATGCTATTGAAAGGGATCCATATGATGGCGATTTGCTAGGAGCTAAAGGTAAATTTAAAATAGTTAAAAGGTGCTACATTATTTACTTTGAATCGATATGAAGAAGCATTATAATGTTTGGATTGTGCTATAAATATGAATCCTAATGATGCTTTAAATTTTTTCAACAAAGGTAAAAGTTGAAATAGTTATTCAAGCTGAGATACTTCTAAAAATGAATCGAAAAAAGGAAGCATTATAAAATATTGATTATGCTATTAATATACAACCTAATAATGATGAGCATTTTGCATTTAAAGGTAAATTACAAATTCTTATAAAAGCTTCTGCATTAATGTAAATAAATCGAAATGAAGAAGCATTATAAAATTATGATTATGCTATTAAAAGATCTCCTTATAATGCGAATTATTATGCAGCCAAAGGTAAATTAAATATAGTTTTTAAAGGTGCCATATTGTTTAAATTGAACCGAAATGAAGAAGCATTATAACATTATAATCATGCTATTGATATTAATCCTTATGATACTAATTATTCTACAGCTAAATGTAAATTTGAAAACCTTATTAAAGCTGCTATATTAATTATAATGAATCAAAGTTAGGAAGCATTATAATTAATTGATAATGCTATTAGTAGAGATCCTTATAATGCTAATTATTATGCAGCTAAAGGTAAATTAGATATAGTTTTTCAAGGGACCGTACTCTTTAAATTGAATCGAAATGAAGAAGCATTACAATATTTTAATTATGCTATTAATCTGGATCCTGACTGTGTTAATTTTTATACAGCTAAAGGTAAATTATTTATAGTTTTTAAAGGTTCAACATTATTAAAATTGAATCGTAATGAAGAAGCATTATAGTATTTTGATTATGCTATTAATAAAACTCCTGATGATGCTAGATGTTATGAATTAAAAGGTAAATGTTGAATTTTTAAATTCAAGCAAAAACACTTGCTTTAATGAATAGAAATGAAGATGCAATATAACATTATGACTATGCCATTACTCTCAATCCCGATTGCGCTGATTATTATGCAAAAAAAGGTAAATTTAAATTAGTTTATTTAGCTGATGCACTTAAAAGGATGAATCGAAATGAAGAAGCATTATAATTTTTTGGTGAAGCTAGCAATAAAAATCCGGATTGTGGTGATTATTATGCGAATATAGGTATATTTTGAACTAATTAATTTAGCTGATACACTTAAAAAAATGAATCGATATGAATTAGCATTAGAGTATTATGATTATGCCATTGCTCGCAATCCTGATTGTGCTAATTATTATGCAAACAAAGGTAAATTTAAATTAATAAATTTAGCTGATACACTAAAAAAATTGAATCGAAATGAAGAAGCATTATAATATTTTGATTATGCTATTAATAAGGATCCTAATTTTGCCAATTATTTTGCAAACAAAGGTAAATTTTCCAAATATTTAATCAAGGCGATGTGCTTAGAAAAATGAATAGAAACGAATAAGCATTAGACTATTATGACTCTGCCATTTATATAAATCCTGATGAGCCTCATTATTACGCAGTAAAAGGTAACTTTAAATTAGTAATTAAAGCTATGACATTACTTTAAATGAATCGAAATGAGGAGGCATTATCATATTATGATTACGCTATTAATAAAAATCCTGAAGATGCTAGATATTATGAATACAAAGGTAAAATTTGAATTTATTATTTAAGCTGATGTACTTAGAAAAATGAATAGAAATGAAGAAGCATTAGAATATATTGATTATGCCATTAATAGAAATTCTGATTATGCAAATTATTATGCATTTAAAGGTAAATTTAAATTATTTAATCTAGCTGATACGCTTAAAAAAATAAGTCGAAATGAGGAAGCATTACAATTTTTTGATTAGGCAATTGATAGAAATCCAAATTTTGGTGATTATTATTTAAATAAAGGTATCCTTTTGATTAAAACTTAAGCCGATGCACTTAGAAAAATGAATAGAAATGAAGAAGCATTACAATATATTGATTATGCTATTAATAACAACCCTGAAGTAGCCATATATTATTAATAAAGAGGTAAATTTAAAATATCTATTTAGCTGCTACACTTCTTCAAATGAATCGAAATGAAGAGGCATTATATTATATTGATTATGCTATTAATAAAAATCCTGAGGATCCCATATTTTATGAATAAAAAGGTAAATTTAAATTAAAACTTAAGCTGATACACTTATAAAAATGAATAGAAATGAAGAAGCATTATAATATATTGGTTATGCTATTAATCAAAATCCTGATAAAGCTTAATATTATCTATAAAAAGGTACCTTTAAAAAAAAATAATAAAAAGCACTTTAATATTATGATTCTGCAATCAAGAGAAATTCTAATGAAACTTTGCTTCAATCAAATAAAGGTAAATTTTGAACAATTATTTTAAGCTGATATGATATAAAAATTGAATTAAAGTGTGGAAGCACTATATTAATTAATTTAAAACATTCCTAATATTAATGACTAGATCAATAAATTTTTTATAGTAACAAAAATTATTTGAATAGGCTTCATATCTTGAGGACCAAAACAATCATGATTGATAGTGATTTAAATTTAATAAATATTATGTACAATATATTTAATGTCAATGCAGTAAAACTATGCAATCTAATTATTTAAATTATTTTTTTAATATATTTTAATATTATTCTTAATAATCATACTGCCTTATTATCCAATAATTTAATTTTAGAATAATAGCAACCCCCATACATACATGGATATAATTCTTATGATGTATCTACATCCAACAACTAATAAAAGATATTAAATTTACAACAAATGTTAATTATGGATTATTCTATCTACTCCATTTAATGTATTTATGTTCAATACATACTTCAATTATTATGATATCATTTATAGTTAATCTGAATGATAATTATTTTTCATGTACCTCTTTATTATGATGAGAGTAAGCATAACTGAGATGCTCTATTAATAATGTTCTATTAATATTTATTTAGATGCTCATACCCAGTTGAATAACAATTTTAATACTCATACTTTTGGATTATTATTTCCCTAAACCCTATTCCAACCTTAAATAAGATTCGCAAAGCATTTAGAAAGTAAACTATTTTCCCTGTTTTTAGAATTGCTTATTCCCCAAAACAAAAATAGTAACCACTATTAGCAGTTTCAGCTACAACTTATATCGCACCCTTAACAACTTATATGTTTATAAGTATTTGAAAATGTTAATACCTTTTGATATTATATTAAATCTAAAAATATTCAATATATTTATTAATTGAATTCTTGTTATTATTTGTTTACTATTTATTAATATATAAATCTATAAAATTCAACTTTTGATTTATTTATCAAATTCGTCCTTTCTTAATCAACTAACTCTTATATTTCTTTAACAAAGTTTATTGATTCTTTGTAATTTTCCTCCTTTTTATGTAGATTTTTAAATTTATTAAATAACTTCAGAGACTTAAAAAATTATTTTTCTTTTGGCTAATTAAATCTAAATAAATTGATACTTGAAATATCCATCAAAATATCTAAAGATTATTAGATGAATCATATTACTTTAAAGATTCTAAATGATTTTTACATCTGCTTCTTTAAAAATTGTTTTGAAAAAAGCATTTGAAAATTAATAAAAATTTGGTTGCGTAATTGATTAAACTTTGTTCATACATTAATATTTAAACGTTGATTTGAATATGTGTGGTTTAATCTTTTAATGAAGCTATCACTATTAAACTTTCATTTGCGTATTAATTTAAACTCTTAACAGTAGTTTTTGTGTTAGAAATATAAAATACTCGATATCTGCGTTTAATAAAATATTACTGAAGTTAGCTCACCTTCCCCAATTGTTAATGTAAAGACGGTTTCGAAATTACGATTCTCTTTTCATACATTTACTAATGTTTTATTTATGCCTATTGTATCTTCAATTGTAGCTTTTTTCTGTTATATCCTCTTTTTTACTCATTCTATTAGTATCATTATTTACATATTTAATTTTGATTAAATAATTTTTAGTAGCATATAAATGCATAACACACTTTATCAATAAATACTAATTCTGCACCCATTTATTTTAAATGAAAAAATTATCATATTTATATATGCAATGGGAATGAAGAACATCTGAACTAAATCTTATACCATAAGATATTTACTTTAATTAAATTCTTGCCCAAGGTTTATATAATATAGGTGATTTTTGTTCAAAAGGAAATAACTTTAAAGGGAAATATAAAAGTAATTGAGCCCCTACTATTTACAACAATAGCTTAATCTAAGAAGTATATAAGGTTCTCGGCTCTGGAACCAACCAGGAACAATTTTCTTATATAATATTCTACTAATGGTGGATTTCAAAATAATAATGATGAAGAAAAAGATAAACTATAAGAAATTAAAATGAATAATAAAAGTAAAATTAACTAATTCTGGTGTTTGTAAACTTTCATTAGATTACACATTCTTGAATACTTTTATTTTGATTTTATAATTGAATCAAAATTTTATAATTATATATAACTAAAAACATAATTATCCTACAAATCTAACAAGAAAATGGAGAATTTAAAATTTAAATGATTAATAAATATTTTTATACATAAAAGTAATTATTTTATATCTGTAAAAATACAATTCTTCAATAAATTATTTAATAACAGAATTCTCAATGCAGAAAAAATCTATCATCTATTTCCAGAAGAAATTCTTCAAGTAATAAGTTGAGAGATAAAAAAGAAGAATGTAATTGCAGTACAGAAATTTCTTTGCAATTTTAACATCCTTTAAATAATTTCTTTACAATAAAATTGCAAGAAGTAAATAAATAAAACATTATTGAACGTATTGAAGGGATCATCATATTATAAATACTAAAACTAACAATAAAGGGCTTTTTAAATTAGACTAAAATAAATTTTAGAATTAAAAAAAATGTCCAATAAATATTCAAAACTTTCTTTTTTATTTATTATTATAGTGTCTATTTTATATATTTCAATATCAAAGTAATTAATGTCATTGTATTGGAAAAATCATAAATTCTAATTTAATTTCAATATCCCTCTTATAAAAGATATAAACAATACTCATTAATCTTTTCTTATCTTTAAAACCCAAGAAGCTGAAACATTATTTGTAAGCATGTTCATTTTACACACTATTCAACCATTTAAACCTCATCAGTTTAACATATTATTACTTACAACTAAATAGATGGAATAGATGATATTATCATAATAAGTAAAGAAATCACCAAAAAATTATCAATTTTAAAATACGCCATTATCCTCCATCCAATCAAATTTAACAAAAAAATCACATATTCTTTTTACGTTAGCTCAAATAACTAAGAAACCTCAAATAATTATCTTTTGGATAATATCTGAGTAGGTATTGCTTATTTAATTAATTCAAATATTTCTTTTGAAATGTAAAATCTTAGATTCTTATTTTATTCAATTCAAAGAGAAATGATAAATTAATAAGTATTAAATTGGCAAATCTGCTAAAGTAATAACCTCTATAAAGACAGTTATCCAATTTAAATATTTGTATAATACAAAAGAATGTATCTTAAAAACAAATATCAACAAACAGTTTGACTCTATTAAAATTAATGCAGCATATACAAGACATTAGAATTTGGAAATATTTACAGGCTTTAGTTTTTTTTTAAACAAAAATTAATGAATTTAATGGCATCATGAAAATTCATATTTCTATGTATTATTACTCGGACCATCTTGTAGCTTAGATCTTGATTATCATATAATGCTTAATGCTCAAAAATCAATAAATTCTATAATAATGTAATAATATTTTTAATCAAAAACAGACCTCTTTTAATTTAAGATGTTTGGATGCGAAGAAATTGTAGTTGTAAATTTTTATAAATAAATGGAGTCTATTATAATGGAGGTATAACATTAATTCCTTCTTCATTAGAGAAAATTCAACCCTTATAAATGATAGAAATATATATCAATATAATCTTATGAAGGAAAAATAATTCTATAACAACCAAAATCATTGAAGGAATATTTAATATATATCAAAGTACTGTTAAAAATTTTTATTACATACAACAGATAAAGTATAATAGTTTGAAAAAATAGATGTTGCAGATTCATTCATAGGTTTTAAATATTGATTAATCATTAACAATTCACTATAATGAGGTTTTCCTTTTTATTTTTTTTAGTTTCAAATTTTATACCGTGAAAGGGAATTTTAAAAGTCTATATTTATAAGTATTCGTTACAATATCACAAATCAAATTAAAATGTAATATCAACACAAATCAATAATACCAAAGTAATACTTAAAGGATTTATGTAGACTTTTTCACTAAACTATAGATTGGTTTAAGATACATAATAATATTAAGTTATATTGTTTGTCTTTAACTTGAGTGTAAACTATTTCTTTCTTAAAATAAATGCTATCTCGATATCGAGAGCTAATGATTAAAAAAAATTTTATTTTTGAAGTTGATGAATAGTTTGTCTATATCGCAACTTTGTATTTTTAACATTAATGAAGTCTTTATTAGAGAGCTATAGCAAATAAAATTTAAAAGATTTATCACATATATTCCACTGATTCTTAGTTTTGTTAAAGGGATCATAAAACAAAACTTTTTCTAAAGTAAGCATTGATAGACAAATGGCTTTTTTATAATTTAAACTAAGCAAGAGTGTTTATAAAAAGTGAATGAAATCTTTTTTATGCGATATAATTTACCTAATTCATTTTAAATGAGGATGATGAAATTATTGAGAGAAAGATGATAAGAAAACTTTTTTATTTATCAGCCAAAAAGATGATATGTCTGATTAGGTAGGTCAAAAACTATTGAGGATCTTAAAATTCCAATATATTGCGAAATTTAAGGATATGACATTATGAAAAATGAATTATAATTAATGTAAATAATGTAAAATGTTAATATTCTCTTTTCAATTTTCTTTATTCAAACAATTATTACTAAATAATAGGATCATATTTGTAAAATGAAAAAATTAATCTAAGTTTTCAAATAAAACTTTTAAAAATAAATTCTAAAGAAATAACTTTTGAATAAATTTGGAAAGGCATCTCTGTTTATTTGTATAATTGTTTGATGTTTGGTAGAAGGTTTCTGTGAAGTTTTAATATTGAATTACATCATCATTGTATTATGAGCTATAGAAAAACTTGATAGATCTTATTGGGTACTTATGAATAAGAATATTTTATAAACTAATAAATAAGAAGGGAGAAGGGATATTATGAAAGCTTAATCAATAAAAACAAACTTCAAAGCAATATATTTTTTGTACATAAATAATATATAAATATTATTAATATTTAGTAAGAATGTTTTACTTTTAAGTGATCATTTAAATTTTGCTAATTTTGGATATTGCAAGTAATTTATTTTAAGTATTATTATACAGAGTTATAATCACAAGAATAATTAATGTAACATTTTAGACTCTTCCAATCCCAAGATACTTGATAAATTTAGAAAACATGCATCTCATAAGGAAATTTAATATGCTTATCGAATTTGGAATTGTATTAGATAATCTAATTCCACATGCTCCTAAAGATTTAAATGATTTAATATTAAGATCCAGAAGAAATCAATTTAAAATAAGAATTTAGACTTCCCTATTTTAAAGAATTAAGAATTTAAGAATAACAGAAATTATTAAAAATACATCACTTTCTCTCAAATTAACTCTAAAAATATTCTTTATTACAACAATAAATGTAAATGTGACATTTTGATTTAATTATTTGATAAATAATAGAGTTACAAAGATTTAATTAAAGCAAAAGAAAGTGAGATTAATTTATTTAAACATTGAAGATATCTTTAAATAAGGCTAAGAAATACTAAGACTTGTAGCTTGGAAAATGACAAAGTAGATTACTATTAAAATGCTTATGAATAGTGAGGAATTGCTGTAAAACTAAAATATTTGAATAACATTTATTCTGACTTATTATCCCCTGAATTGGATAAGTGAGATTTGCTGTTAATTAAAGTATCTCTTTCTTTTACTCAAGTTTCAAGAAAACACAATTTTGGTAATGTATCCGTTTTGGAGGCTTAATTATATTGATTTAAATTTTTTAAAATAATTTATATATCATGTAAGAAGTACTAAATTTTATTATAAATAATAACTTCACCTAATATTTTGAGGTGTCTAATTTTCCATAATATTTACTTATATAATTCAACTTTTTTTTTTATTTTAAAATATTAAGTACATTAGCTAAAATCTTGAAAATACATGCTTACTTTTAACGTATTTCCACAATAATTAATTGCAATAAAGTTCCTTGTTATTAAATTAAAAAAAAGAATTTAATAATTAATTTTCTATTACACATTATAAATCACTAATCTTGAATTTTTAATTTCTTTTCAAATTTTACATCTTAAATAGAATTAATCTAGTATGGATTTATTTCTTAAAAACATAAAAAAGATGTAACAAAATTATTCATGCTTATATTCTAAGTGCAATCTATCTAATTTATAATTTGAAATATAAAATTTTAATTATTAATATTAAATTTTATCTCTTTTCATTAAATATTTTTAATAATAAATTTGCTTTTACATGCAAAATATCATAGATAATAATATCTAAATTCAAGGTCTTTTGCTTAAATCAATAAGAAAATTTTCTTTTATTTAATAAAGTACAAAAATAATCACTGAAATTTACCAATTTAAAAAATTGAAATTTTATTATATGTCTCTTTCAAGTATTTCTTAATTAGAATTCAAAGAAGAATCAGAATAATCTGAGATAATTAATCTAAATAGATGAATCATCCTAAAAAATAGATTTAACAAAAATTTCTTTACAGTTTTTATTTTAAAATATCTTGACCATACCTTCCTGCTTTTATTTTAATGATAAATGAATGCTTATTAGTAATTTATATTTTTCTAAAGTATTTAAAAACTTATAAAAAGTGGAATAGTTTATTCTTTTATTAAATTAAATCATATATTATTATGTAACTTTAAACAGCTCTGCCTAGTTATTGTTTATCTTCAACTTTACAAGTGATACAATGCAAAAGAAATTAAGCTTGAAAATTTAGTTGAATAAAGGCATGAAGCTAATGCATTATTTATTGACACATTCAGAGAACAAAAACTTATTTTCTGTCCTTATTTGGTTAAGAAATGATGCACAGAGGAAAATAAAGTACATTAATTGAAAATAGTTATATTGGAGATTTTACAATTTGAATAAGATAATGTTGGAATGGAGAAATATAATTAAAGGTTTTGAAAAATAAGAAATTCAATCAGCCGATGACATTTGCTAATTTTAAAACTTATTTATTACTTAAATAAGATTGATTGAAATAAGAATATTATGCTAAAGCCTTAAAAAAGTATTCTTCATAATATACTTAGTCCTGCAAAACATCTATTTATCAATGAATTACAAATGCGTTAAGAATTGATATATTTTAATTATCATGCTTTATCACGATAAATGAACGACACGAACAAATTAATCTAATATTTATTGAATTAAGAACTGAAAGTATTTTTTAATGTTAATTTTATAGATCTGTAAGATTTACAATTATATATTTGATAAGAATCATAATACTTTGAATTATTGAATTTAATATTAAATAAAACAAGGTTCCCATCATCTAAAATGATTTTTTACTCAATATATTAAATGTTAGATTAATCATATAAAATCAGATTGAATTCTATACATATTATTGATTATATTAAGTTAAAAATTCATAGTAATAATTTATAAAATTATATTGAAATTTTAAATGAAAGAAGCTTCATGATTTATTATTACAAGTAAAATAGTCTTTAATATTGCTTAAACTTTTTACAGATAAGAAATTTGATAAATGGTATTATTACTAAAGTCATGTTGGGAAATAAGAAATTTAATCAATAAATTCATACATTTTTAAACTTGAATTAACTTAGATATTTAATTTTTTATAAATTACTCAATTATTTGTATACAGTTATTATTCCATTTATTTATATCCATTTAGCATCCTGAGATGATTGAATCTTCTTTTATTTTGTTCTCTCTAAATATTTAAAAAGACTTTATATTCTCTAAAATTATTAATATTTTATTATTATTATTTAGATGCAATATATGAATCTACTTTGAATAAGTAACATTTATACTAAAAAATCAATAAAATTACAAATTAGTTAATCAATTATCTTCACATCTTCAATTTCTTCAACTAATTAAGAATCTTACTTTTTAATTACTGTTTTATATCAGCAATTAAGGTTAATATATTATTAATTAATTTGATTAGACTGTAAATTTGAATAAATATAAAAATGGTTTAAATTGTGATAGCTAGGTGAGTATTCTTTATTGATACTTTAAGATTACATTAAATATTTTTAGAATATGAAATGAAATCTTTAAAAAGATTCAAAATTTTAAAGTATTTTATTCATTGTTGATTAAATTAATTAGTGATCTCCTAATTAAATTATGATTTATAACATTTTTGGGAATGTGTGTTCATCCAATATTTTTTCTGGTATAATCTAATTACAAATATTGCTTAATTTTTGTAAAAAATATAAATTTTTGATCCTTGGTATTTTAATATGTAATTTTTAATTTTTAGGATATTATGAAACTAAGAATAATAACCAACAATTTATTCTTAATTTTCAATTACAGTTTATGGGTTATCAATTCTAGCATGTTTAAGTACATTATTAAATTGCTTCTTTGTATTAGTTATATAGATTACATTTTAAGAAAATACAATTAGATATTAATGAGTATTTAATAAATTGATTCATAATTCTTACAAATTAAACCTTATCTTGGAACCAATTTCTTTGTTTAAAAGAACAAATAATCTGCTGAAATATCTTTATCTAGACTTGCAATAATACAAAATAAGCCAAAGTTACTTAAAGGAGAAAGAAATCACAAAGTAATTTGAATACTTGAGTATAGTAATTAGATTACTTAGTTTTTGAATGAATTTAGAAGAAAAAACAATATTTTAATTTAGTAATTCCATATAATGAATAAAATTTTAGTAATCAGAACTAACAAATTCTAATAATAACTATAAAATTATTCTATTTTTAATTTGTATATCTGTTATAAAAAGATTAAAACAGGCTATCATTTCATTCTGCTTTTTTATATTACTTTATATTGCTTTGTTCCTTAAATAAAGAAGTATTTGATATCATTTTCTTATTCAAAATTTGAAGTTTATAATTAAAAATTCAATTTGTTTTTATTCTTGAAATATCTTTAAATTTCATTTAGTTAACCAAAATTGTTGCTTTTTTAACTCATAATTATTGATGGCTGTGTAATTCCTATATATATTTGTTCAAATTATTATATGTAATTTCTTAATTTTTCTTAATACTTTAAATATTAAATTACTTTCATAACTTTTATTAAGATTCATAAGAAAATTTCATTCATATATAAATGTTCCATCAAAGATTAATAAAGACTTAACGTGAACATCCTTTTATGCAATTTTTAATGGTTTACATTTTAATTACTCATACTAAAATTCATATATTAAAAACCTTTAATAATTCCAAATTTTACATATTCACTATTCTTTTCTTTTGTTCCTTCAAATTCCTTCGATTTTCTTTAATCCTAATGAATTTTAATTAAACCATTCTTATCTAAGTCAGCAATATGCAGACAGGCTTTTCAATTAGTTATATAGAAATTACTTTAACTTTTTCTCTATCAGAGATTCTTCATAAGATAATAAACTTATTATTATTAATATAGTTCACACTTCAGTTCAGTATTATTACTAAAGGTTGAGAAAAAACATTAATTAGCTGAGTTTTGACAACAACTGGCCTTATCTTGGTGAAATCCCTAAAATTAAAACCTTTATTACTTAATAAATTGGTTTATCTTCTTATTTTTCTTCTAATTTCAGCAGCAAGTTTATTACAATTAGATTTAGCAAATTTTTTCCAACTTTTATTTAAGCGAGCATTAGAAAGCAGTTTGTTATACATCATTCAGAATTAAATTTAAATAATAATATAGATTCATTAAAAATTCTAAAACCTTTAATCCATTAAATTAAATAAATTAATTTTTCAAATACAAGTATATTTCATAAGAAACTTCACAAATTTAAAGTCCCTATCGAATAAAAGCGAAATTATAAATTTTCCCAACACTTATAAAAAAAAGTAAGAGTAACAATTTTGATAAAATATTGTTTTATCTTAGTAAACTCAATTAATATTCAATTATATCATATTTATTTCATATTATTTAGCTTATGATAACAGGCAATAAGTTCATTTTATTGGGTGCTAAAATTTATTATTACTAATTTCTACCCTCTAATTTTTCTAAAACTAATTAGATTTTAATATTTTCAACATATTTTATATACTTTAAATATTTCAATCATATACAGATATCCATCTTTAAAAAAAATAAA